TGTGTAGATGTTGGCCCATCCTTCAAATGCCCAGCTGCTTAGGAAAACTTTGAAAGGGCCTTGATTTTTCGAATACAAAATTTTATACATACCGAAGACGAGCAAACAGCTGCCCAAAGCGAAAACTACAACACAGTTAAAATGGCAGGGCAAACACGAATACATTCACAGACTCAGCTATACTTTGGGCTATGAAAATGGAAATGCCTAAATTCAGTTCAGGTGTTGAGTGGGTGTCACTGCATATTTTTGAGTGCAAGTGCTTACATCTGGGTTAGATCTAACAGCCTATCTCCCTTAATTTCTAAATTGCCTTCCTTCCTTCCTCTCCTCTGCAAAACCATAAATTCACAAAGAAGAATTGATGAAGAAATGAAAAAAAATATTTGGGGGAGTCATGAGTTTTGTTTGTTTCATTTCTGAAGCTATGGTTTACAGGTAGGAGGGATAGATCCATATCCTACCCCTCTAAAAAATGCCAGTTATCACATCAACAAACGATAGTGCTGTTATTCCACTTGCCGTTTTCCATAGAACTGGAGCTGAGAATTCTAAATGCCCCCAAACTACAATTCCCCAAATTCCACAGGATTCATGGCAGTTAAAGTGGAATAACAGTACTATAATTCTGTAATGTGAATAGGTCCCAACTCATCTCAAGACATTTTCCTTTCATAGGTAAAGGACAGCTTGGGGCATACTGTATACACTTCACATCCAAAGACAAAGATATTGCAATTTAAAAAAAATAATTAACATTTGCCACAGGACAGCATTCTTCATGGCCCATCAGGCCACAAGCTCCAAAGATGGCATGTGTATCAGGCTATGTAAAACATTGCACACTCTTCCCTCTTCTAGTTCCTTGCCACTGCTCAACTACCGTAACCCCAGCATCTCACTAATGTTGACTAGTCGTAAAACAGTGCTGAACTGAGACATTGGAAACTAAATTTCAGGCCACAAAAATACATCAGGTGAGTTTGAGACATTCATACTTCCCAAACAAGGTGTTTTGAGGACAAAATGAAAAAAGTCACACACAGCTTAGAACTTATTGGATAGAATGCAAGATGTAAATATAAATTTAATGAATAACTGAATCTGCCAAACTTTGCTTAATGGCAGAACTGCCCTTACCATTTTAAAGTGGAATTTAAATGGAAGTCAGCAACCCAGTTGTGTGCCTTCAAGTCATTTTTGACTTATGGCGATCACAAGGAGCCCCTACTGCAGGGTTTTCTTGGCAAGACTTATTCAGAGGAGGTCATTGCCTTCCTCTGTTGACAGAGGTGGCTTGTCCATGGCCATCCAGTGGACATCTGTGGCCAAGCAGAGACCTGAGCCCTGGTGTCCTGAATCTCAGTCCAATGCTCAAACGACAACAACGCCAAGGGCTCTCACTGGTCTATTGATACAATTTCATCCTGGGTGTCAATGGGTTTAAACCAACACTCTTTGTATACATCTCCTACTAAGTTAAGATTCAAATACTGTAAATCTTTTAATAAATCAAGATCCAAACACCTTCTCTTCATACTATCCTTTGAGAAGTTTTGCTGACCATAAACTTTCACTGACTCAGATATTAACTCTCCTGCCACACAGAACCATCATAATACTTTCAAGGCTTCTAAGACTAATACAAACTAACTTTGATTCCACAAACAACAAAAGATGCTACAATGGCACACCTCTATGCTTTATTGTCTCAGTAATCATGGGAAGTAGAGGTGAGATCACTTCTTTCCTTTTTAAAAAGGAGTGTATCTTGCCAGCATTAGTAATTACTTCAAAAATTTTGTGTTGTTTTTTTCAAAAATATTGCCAAATACAAAAATAGCAAAAAAAATCACCCAGAACAATGTTTTAATCGTTACATGATTACACAATTAATCGAACTAAAATGTGAATGCTGTAACTTGTTTTGTACTATTTTGCAAAAGGAAAATTGTCGTGCCCACATCATTCAGAGTTAACATGTTACAGGTAACATTGTTACTGGGACTGGGTTACTTCCAAGCTAGAATCAGGCTAAGAGGTTTGGCCTAAGATGGCAAAGAGAGCTTCATGGCTCAGTAGGGAACTAAAATGCCTCTTCAGAACCACATTTCATCACTGTAGCCATACCATTCTCTCTATGTGTGCATGTGTCATGAAGTCGCCTGTTGATTTATGGCAACGCCATGAATTTTACAGGGTTTTCTTGGCAGATGTGGTTTTGCCAGTTCCTTCCTCTGGAACACAGCTTATAACACAGAGTATTCATTGGCAGTCTTCCATCTCAGAGAAATACAACTGCTAATAATATGCTTTTGTTGCTAACCATATCCAAACACCACATTTTCACATACAGTTGATCTGCTATGGCAAAATATAACTTGCTAATAATTTCCAAACAATTGGTTGCTGTGAGTTTTCTGGGCTGTATGGCCATTTTCCAGAAGCATTCTCTCCTGACGTTTCACCCACATTTATAGCAGGCATCCTCAGAGGTTGAGGGGCCTGTTGGAAACTGTTTATATTCCACAGATATATAAACCTCACTTACTTCGTTTCCAGCAGACCCCTCAACCTCTGAGGATGCCTTCCATAGATGTGGGTAAAACGTCAGGAGAGAATGTTTCTGGAATACTGCCATGCAGCCTGAAAAACTCACAGCAACCTATAATTCCATGAAAGCCTTCGACAACACTATTTCCAAACACCACATTTTCACATACAGTAAATCTATTATGAAAAAATATAACTTGAAAGCTGGTTGCAGAAGACAATTTTTGCTGTGTTAATGCCATATCTGGTTTTGTTGCTGTGTGCCTTCAAGTCATTTCTGACTTAGGACAACCCTAAGATAAACTTCTCACTCAACACTGTTGGCAGAGCGGTTTGCTCTAGCCTTCCTCCAAGTCTGAGAGTGACTTGCCCAATGCCACCCAGTGGGTCTCCTTGGGTGACAGGGGATTTGAAGCTTGATCCTCCAGTATCCCGGTCTAAAGCTCAAAACCACTATACCATGCTGGTACCATTACCCATTGCTACTTGCCATTTGAAACATGCAAAACTGACATCCCCATGTTGCTTATTCCAATAGATTTTTCTCCCATGCTAAATGTGCCCAGGATGACACACCCTACAAATACCAGCAAATAGGAAAGGTATGGTTCAAGAATAGTTAATGACACAAATTATTCACAAAATTCCTGTCCTTTAGAAGACAACTGAAGACCTGGCTCATTTGACTAGAGGGGAACGGCAATATGAAAGAGAAGATTTTCTGGACATCGTGACACTGGATTCTCCTGTCTTGGCTCTAGCATATTGGCACATTAATTTATTGTTAATGATTTTATTGTTGAGTTTGTATAATGTTTTAAATGTATTTTATTGTTTAACTGATTTTATTGGTATTTATGTGAATGACATCCTTGGATGCTTATGTAAGGCCGCCCCGAGTCCCCTTGTAGGGAGAAGGGCAGGATAGAAATGTAGGTAATAAATAAATAAATAAAAATTATTCACCATATTCAAATACACCATACATTCTCTACAGCACTCATTGTAAACTTTGAATGCAATTTTCCTGCTTCTTGGCAAGAGGTTGGACTGGATGACCCACGAGGTCTCCTCCAACTCTAGGATTCTATAATTCTAAACTATAATAATAATAACTTTATTTATACCTCGCCACCATCTCCCCAAGGGGACTCGGGGCAGCTTACATGAGGCCAAACCCAAACAGCACATCAGTAAAACAACAAGAAGTTGATGGATGTTTGTACCAGCAGTACTTCACCGGATCTCTACCCCAGAACTTTTAATTCAGCCTCTACAAGACTTGACACTACTAAATTGCATTATAGCAACCAAAAGATACCTAGATTATTTCTCTGGGGGGGAAACCCAAAAGTTTAAAATCATCCCACTGTATTAAATTTATCCACCCTGAATACTAGCAAGTGAAAGGTGAAAATGAATACATGCTATGAAAACAGCTGATAACCTTGTTAGAAATAACTAAAGTGTCCTAAGATACTATGCAAGATTTCAAATTTCTCTATTTCTTTAATCCAGATGTCCAGTGAAACAGAAAAAGAAACAAAGAGGGGAAGAAGAGAACAATCAAAACAAAAAATGGCTAAGTGACTTCTTTTAAATCCTGTGAAATCTGTATTTTCTGTCTAAAACATCGTATATTAAAGATTATTCAAAACAAATTTCAGAATACATCAAGAGCCACCGAGAAAGAAATAGCTCTTTTCATCAGACAGCAATTATTTGGATTCAGTTCCAACACAAAGCAAAGCATGCTTATCCCTTATAAGGCAGAAAGCAGAAGAAAAACATGGCACTCCTACACCAGAGTGAGTAATCTCTGGCCTTCAAAATGTAGCTGGGTTGCAGTTCTCACCAGTACCAGTCAGCATACCCAACTGGGAGGAGTCATGTGACATACACTCCAACCATGTCTCAGTGGGAAGGGGGACGACATCTTTGCCCTAACAGATATACAGATTGATTTTAAATGATGCAAAAGAATCAACAGAAGCCACTTTGGGCAGTCTCTTCTACTGGCTGGAGACCATAGAACCCATCTAAAGGGAAAACTTTGGGGACATTTCTTAAATATCTAACTTCTATCCTTATTCAATCCCTTTCTTATTTTCCTTTAGGGGAGGGTACTGACAACTAGCATGGTGTAGTGGTGTAATCATTGCACTAGGACTCCAGAGACCAGGGTTTAAATTCCCAACCAGCCACAGAGATTGACTGAATGAACCTTGGGCAAACCACACTCTCTAAATCTCAGAAGGCAAACCCTTTCTGAATAAATCATGCCAAGAAAACCCTGTGATACGGTCATTATAAGATAGGGTTGTTGAAAGTTGGAAAAACTGGAAGGCACACAAACAACATCTAAACTTGAAGAGCAGCTGTAATGAACTACACAACCCATCATCACGGGGCAACTTGCTGCAAAATAACAACACAGCGGTTCTTACCTGGAGAACAGAGAGGCTTGTCTGTCCAGAAAGACTGAGCTTTTCTTGCTCAGAGGGATACGCATTGAACCTGTGTTCATACAGCCACTCTCGGAGAATCTTCACAGACTCCTTTGGGAGATTGCCCCTTCGTTTCCTCTTGCCAGATTGCAATGGATCCTGAGATATAGTCCCATCGTCTTCTCCAAAGTCACTATCTGACATGGTGGAGCTGCTGGCAGACTTGTCCTGGTTCAAGCCTAGGAGATAATACAAGATGAATACATCAGGATTGCAATTGTGTGCACATTAAGGAGTATTGCCTGCAGTTAATCACAGCAATGATATAAAACAAAGAAAAAGAGATAATAAAACAATTTCATCTTGTTCTCTGGGATCCCCCAGTGGTGCAATGAGATAAACCCTTGTGCTGGCTGAATCCGGGGAGATGGGTGAGCTTCCATCTGTCAGCTCCAGCTTCCCATGCTAGGACATAGAAACCCCCCCCCCACAGGATGGTAAAACATCTGGGCAACGTCCTTGCAGATGGCCAATTCCCTCACACCAGAAGCAACTTGCAGTTTCTCAAGTGGCTCCTAACACAAAAAAAAATTCTTGTTCTCCGAGGAACACTGTATATTAGTAAAACTCAATGTAAAGTCCTTATGGGTTGGCTCAGTTTGAAAACTGAACCACTTCTGGACAACTGTCCTGAGTCGCCTGCAGGCTAAGAAGGGCGGTATATAAATATAGCAAATAATAGTAAATAAAACTTTTAAACTATAAGGGAACTGTGGCTTGAACTCTGGTGTGAGAATACAGAATCTGAATCAACCTGTTGACTCACCAAATGATTCAAAAGGTCTACTTTCGTGTGAACTAGAGTTCAGGCCTACATTTGCTCTCATCTTGAGCCAGGTACTTTCTATGCTGCATGACCAAACAAAGGGAACCATGTGTTCTACTTAAGCCAACCAGCCTCCTGTGTTTTTTTTAAAATCAGGTTACAAAGCTTTACCACTTTGAAATAAACAATGGCACGAGCTATACCTCACTGAAAGGAATGAAAACATGTTTCAAAAACCTATCTTTTCTCAAAAGTGGCTCATGTCTTTAGGGCAAACCTTGGGCAGATCTAACAATTTCAATGGATTCTGAAGTCTGCATCCCTTCTTTTCCCAATTCTGAAACTATCCTTGCATTCTTTTAAAAAATTTTGACATGACCCTTAAAACTATTATAGCTGCCAATTATCATTGTGTTTTGAATTATTTTACATAAATCCAAATTTAATTTTTAAAGAAAAAATATTTTGGAAAAGGCAAAAAAACCCCAATTTTCAGTGGAGATCCCTTTTCCCCATTAAAATTCTGTGAGGAGTTATTTCCCTTCCTAGGGTAGATTTTTTTTCTCACTTCCTAATGTCTCGCCCTCATTCTGAACTGTGAATCAGATGTTTGTAACTTGGGGACTGCCTGTAGTCATTTCTCCTAGATTACACAGATTTCAAATACTGGTAGTCCCAGGGTTACAAACATCTGGCTCTTCCACACACCAATATAACCCAGATAATCAACAGCATCTGCTTTGAACTGGGTTATCCGAGTCTACACTGCCATATAACCCAGTTCAAAGCAGATAATGTGGGATTTTATACAACCTTGTAGAAGGGACCTATACTGTCCAAAACTAATATATACATGTATTTTTAGCTGGAGGTACACTTTTAAAAGGATCTGTCCAATTTACAAACAAATTCAACTTAAGAACAATGCTAGACCAGACATAGGCAAACTTGGGCCCTCCAGATGTTTTGGACTTCAACTCCTACCATTCCTAACAGCCTCAGGCCCTTTCCTTTCCCCGCTCAGCCACTTAAGTGGGAGTTGCAGTCCAAAACACTTGGAGGGCCCAAGTTTGCCCAACCCTGCTACAGACCCTCTCTTGTTCGTAACTTGGGGACTACCTGTAAAGAGAAAGGGGAAAAAGGGAGGGAGAAAGAGAAGAGAAGGGAGAGAGAGAGAAATCTAGATTGCTTTAAGATTTTCAGGCTTTATGTTCCAGAAGCCATGTTCCAGAAGCATTCTCTCCTGACGTTTCACTTGTATCTACGGCAGACATTTTCATGCCTATGGATGCCTGTCATAGATTCTGGCAAAACGTCAGGAGAGAATGTTTCTGAAACATGGGCCATACAGCCCGAAAAACTTACAGCAACTCTGCGATTTAGGCCATGAAAGCCTTCGACAATGCAGTAAACATCTCTACAGAGAGAAACTCTTCCAAGACACACGAATGAGGATGCCTGCCATAGATGCGGGCAAAATGTCAGGAGAGAATGTTGCTGGAATATGGCCAAACAGCCCAGAAAACTTACAGCAACCCAGTGATTGCGGCCATGAAAGCCTTTGATAATACATTGAACATCTCTACAGGGAGAAACTTTTCCAAGACATGAATGAGGATGCCTGCCATAGATGCAGGCAAAACGTCAGGAGAGAATGTTGCTGGAATATGGCCAAACAGCCTGGAAAACTTACAGCAACTCAGTGATTCCGGCCATGAAAGCCTCTAGAGGGAGAAACTGTTCCAAGACACACAAATGAGGATGCCTGCCACAGATGCAGACAAAACATCAGACAAGAATGCTTCTGGAACATGGCCAAACAGCCCAGAAAACTTAGAGCAACCCAGTCATTCCAGCCATGAAAACCTTCGACAATACAGAAAGAAATCTAGTTTTTTACTACTTCATCACACAAGGGAATGAATTCACTTGAAATCTGGTTTCTGCCTCCTGCAGAATTGTGGGGTTTGTAGTTTAGTGAGGCTGTTAAAGTCTCCTCTCTAAACTACAAACCACAAAATTCTACAGGAGGCAGAAACCAGATTTAAAGTGAATTCATTCTCTAGTGTGATGAGAACCTATCTATCTATCTATCTGTATAAACTGGCTAAACAATGGTTCTTAGTTTGTGGCTCCCCAGATGTTTTGACTTTCAACTCCCAGAAATCCTAACAGCTGGTAAACTGGGATTTCTGGGAGTTGTGGGCCAAAACATCTGGGGAGCCGCAGCATTGAGAACCACTGGGCGAAGAGAAAGGCGGTTCAGGCTTGGCTTTGCAGACATGCGGCCGGGTTTGTTTGGGAGGCAAGGCATTCAAAGATCAACAAGTCCTGCGCGCTCCCGCCAGCCAGGCAGGCAAGCACACACCACCCCAGGCAACTCCAAGTCCATTGAAATGCAAGCTGTCCTCCCCCCTTCCTCGAAAACAACCAGAGGGAAATGGCAATTATGCCTCAATTTCCCAGAAAAGGCAATGGGTAGTGGACACAACAGGCGACACCAAACGGGGGGGGGGGGGGAGTTTGCTGGCTCCACGCGGAAGGGTTTCTTTCTTTCTTTCTCTCTCTCTTTCCAGTCTGCAACTTCTGAGGGATGGAGGAGGGGTCTTGTCTCTCTTTCTCCTGCTGTTGTTTCCTCCTGGCTCTTCCTCCCCCAATATGGGGACGCTGGGACCCAAAAACACCACGAAAATTACAATAAAAGGCAAAGTCGCGAAGGGAAACAATGCCAAGAGTGGAGATGGAGGCGAGTCCACTTGCAAAGTTTTGGGTTTTTTCCTCCTCCACAAAGAGCATAAGAGAAGGGGAAGAAAGGGGAGAAGAGAAGGGGAGGAAAACCAAACACAAACCCCCCACAAAGAGTAAAAAGAAAGGATCCCAAGGAAGGGGAAAACAGCAACAAGCGGCCATTCCGACACAAAAAGCATGCCATTGAAAGCCGATCTCTTTCTTTCTTTCTCTCTCTCTCACACCCACCCTCCCTCCTTCCTTCCCTCCTTCCCAGCAGAGGCGGCAAAAAAAACAAGCCGAGCTCAATCCCTTGGCTTCCTTCTCCAGCCTAACTTTGCAACATAGTAAGAAACCAGACCCTTCCTCGTTTTGGAAAGGAAACGGAGTCGTTTCCATGAACTCCGGTGAAGTTTCAAAGGGGAAAGAAGCAAGGCAAGGCAAGGCAGCTCCTCTCAGGCCCGCTCCAGCGCCACCCTCGCCTTTGAACCCCCCAAACAAGCCGGGGCTGCATGCTGCCCCCCGAAAAAGCCCTCCAGAGAGAGGGGAGCCACCTTTGCCAAGCCGAAGAGGGGCTTCCTGGGAACCCCGAGGCGCAAGGGAGCCACCCCGAAGGGCAGACAAACACGCACCGCCAACTTTCGCCGGAGTGACAGATGCCTCGACAGAGTGCTCTTTGTTCCAAAAGAAACAGGAACTTACGCCTCCGTCCCTTCCTCGCCGCCCCCTCCCCTCCCCTCCCCTCTCCCCTCCTCTCCCTCCCTCCGCCCCACGCGTTACCCGGGGTTTCCTCCCAAACACCTCTCCCCACCCCCCAAACTGTCAGTTTACAACTTCTGCCGTTTTCTTCCCCAAAGCCTCTGAACCCAAAGAGATGGGAGATGCCCCCCTTTCTCTTCCAAACAAACCACAGATCTATGTGTTTGTCCTAGGCTTTCATTCATGGCCGGAATCACTGGCTGCCTCATCACACTAGGGAATTAATCCACTTTAAATCCGGTTGCTGCTTCCTGCAGAATTCTGGGGTTTGTAGTTTAGGGAGGAGCCTTTAACAGCCTCACTAAACTACAAACCCCAAAATTCTGCATGAGGCAGAAACCGGATTTAAATTGGATTCATTCTCTAGTGTGATGAAATATTGGGTTGCAGAGATTATTCCTGGCTGTATGACCATGTCCCAGAAGCCTAATCCTAAAACAGACAAAGAGTTCCAGATAAGACTCAATCAGGGCCAGCTAAACGCCCTGATTGAGTCTTTGAACCCTGATTGAGCCAAATTACAGCATTCACACTTCCCTCTAAGAGACATGAGTTTCAGACAAGACTCAAATCAGGGTCACCTAATGTTTAATCAAAACATTAAATGAAAAACAATACTCAAAAAACAGACAAGACTCAAGCAGGGCCAGCTAACCGCCTCCCAACAAAGGATTCCCCCAGGCAGCAACCAACCAGACTTTAAAGTTGCAAGGCCATTAAATGTCAATCAACATGGCCAATTACATTCACGTTTCCCTTAAACAGACAAGAGTTCCAGAAAAGACTCAATCAGGACCAGCTAATCACCTCCCAACAAAGGATCCCCCAGGCAGCAATCAGCCAAACCATGAAGCTGCAAGGACATTAAGTGTCAATCAAGGTGGCCAATTACAACATTCACACTTCCCTCTAACACCCTGGACATTATTCCACAGATAAATAAACCCCACTTTCCTAGTTTCCAACAGACCTCACAACTGGGTTGCTGTGAGTTTTCCAGGCTGTGTGGTCATGTCCCAGAAGCCTTCTCTCCTGACCACCAGTTGCTGGGATTTATAGTTCAGACAAGATTTATATTTCAGACAAGAATCAATCTGGGCTAGCTAATCATATCCCAACAAAGGATTCCCCCAGGCAGGTAGCAGCCAGACCTTGACACTGTAAGGCCACTTCACAGCATTTTCTTAGGCAATGAATAGCTGTTTTTGCCAGTTCCACTGCACCTGGTATTCCTTCGAGGTTCCCCATCTGAGTATTGATCAGCTTGCCAGACCTTGAAGCAGCCAGACCTTGAAGCCAAAAGGCTATTCAATGCTAATCAAAGTGGCCAATTACAGCATTCACACTTGCCTCAAACAGAAAAAAGTTCTTTTTTCCACCCTGAGCATCCCACAGATCTACAAACCTCACTTGCCTAGTTTCCAACATACCTCACAACCTCTGAGGATGCCTGCCATATAGATGCAGGCAAAACGTCAGGAGAGAATGATTCTCGAACGTGGCCAGGCAGCCTGGAAAACTCACAACAACCCAGCCTCACAACCTCCGAGGATGCCTGCCATATAGATGCAGGCGAAACGTCAGGAGAGAATTATTCTCTAACATGGCCATACAGCCAGGAAAACTCACAACAACCCAGCCTCACAACCTCTGAGCATGCCTGCCATAGATGCAGGCAAAACGTCAGGAGAGAATGATTCTCGAATATGGCCATACAGCCCGGAAAACTCACAACAACCCAGACCTCACAACCTCTGAGGATGTCTTCCATAGATGTGGGCAAAACGTCAGGAGAGAATGCTTCTGGAATATGGCCATACAGCCTGGAAAATTTACACCAACAGACCTCACGACCTCTGAGGATGCCTGCCATAGAGGTGGGTGAAACGTCAGGAGAGAATGCTTCTGGAAAATGGCCATACAGCCCGGAAAACTCACAGCAACCCAGTGATTCCATCCAGGAAAGCCTTCAACAACATGTCAGGCATGGGCAAAGTTGCCATTTTGGGATCAAGAGGGAGAGGGAAGCATATGCCAAAATCAAGAGAAGCCGGGGAGGGAAGAGAGACAGAGGGAAAGCCCTGGGCTTGGCTTGTTTGTAAAGAAACCCCTTTCTTCGGGGAGGAGATCTGTGTCTGCGGGGAGGCGAAGGAAGACCTGAAGCGTCCCTTCGAGCAGGAGAAGTTTGCGTGGCCTCAACGTGCCCTGAACAAAAGAGCCCCTTCTCGGCTCCCTCCGAGCGCCAGTTTGGGGAGCTTAGCCTGGCTCTTCCCCTTCGCCGCCTCTTTTCACCGCTCTTTCCCCTTTTTGCTTACCTACGAAACTTTGGACAAAGTTGTGCCGCTTCTCCCAGAGGAGGAAAACAACAAAAAGAGCCGCGCAAGGCAGCCGGGTGGAAGGAAAACGTCCCCGCCTCCCCCTCCGATCCCAGACCCTCCCCCGTAAGGAAAGAGAAACGGGCGCCTCTCTTCCTCCCAAAAAGAGACAACCGGCTTTGCAAAAGTCCGGAACACGCGCGGGCGAGGCGAACTTGCAAAGGGAGCTCTCCCTCCCCTCGAGGCCCACTTACTTTTCCTCGTGTGTTTCATCCTCTGCCTGGCACAAGCGCCCCCCTTTCGCCTCTTCCTGGCGCCGAGCTTTCAGTCCAGGGTCTGGGGAGGGGGAAGAAGGAGGAGGGGGAGGCGCCGGGCCCCCTTTGTGCGTGCGGGGAACGCGTGGGCTGCTTCCCCGGGGAGGGAGAGATTGTGTGAGAGAGGGGGGGAGGTCCTGACTACTCTCGCTCTGACAGCTCGGGATGGAGCCCTCCGGGGGGGGGATGCAGTGACGTCAGCGCCCCTCCACCACTCAGGGATCCGGGGCAGCCACTTGAAACAGGAGGAGGAGGAGGAAGAAGGCTGCACGCCCCCCCCCCTCTAGTTTGTAATGAGTGGTTCCAGCCTGGATAGAAGCACAACAACCTCCCCGCCCCATCCTCCAAAATCGTTGGAGGAGGGAGAGAAGGAGGAGGAAGACCCTGGAGGAAGACCCTCACCTTCTATTTTGTTATGAGTGGCTCCAGCCTGGAGAGAAACACAACAACCCCCCTGCCCCCCTCCTCCAAAAAGCGTTGGAGGAAGAAGAGGAGGAGAAACTGGCCCTCAAAGTTTTCTTGGAGGGGAGGGGGGAACAAAAGGTGGCCTCCTCTCTCCTCCTCCTTTCCAGGAGGAGTCGGTGTGCTTCCTTGCCTCTGTTGTTCTTGGCAAATTCAAGGAAGCCACGAGGAGGAAATCGCCCGGCAAGCAAGCATCACAACAAACCCGTTGGAGCCTTTCCCTCCCACACACAAAAACGCACGCGGTACTTTTGAAAACTCCACTCTCTCATCTTGCAACCAGTTCTGGGGAAAGTTTGGTTCTGCACCTTTCTGAGAAGCGACCACGCTGACTGAACTGGGAGTCTTCCTGCCCGGATAGTATTGCCAGTATTGTATATACACACACAAACACTCACACATGCAGAACTAATAGGGTTGCACTGCAAGGCTGCAATCCCATCCACTTAAGTTAGGTCTGGGAGACTTAGAAGGCGCTGAACAGGCTGCACTCTGGCACCCCGAGATGCAGAGCCAACCTTAAGAAGTGGAGCTACGAAGGGGAGTCCACGATATGCAAGTGTGGAGAAGCAAACCACAGAGCCCTTACTACCATGCAACCTGAGCCCTGCCACATGCACAATGGAGGACCTTCTTATAGCAACACCAGAGGCACTCCAAGTGGCCAGCTACTGGTCAAAGGACATAATTTAGACCTCACAACACTAGAGAATGAAATCACTTTAAATCTGATTTCTGCCTCCTACAGAATTCTGGGGTTTGTAGTTTAGGGAGAAGCATTTAACAGCCTCAATAAACTACAAACCCCAGAATTCTGAATTAGGCAGAAACTGAATGTAAAGTGGATTCATTCTCTAGTGTGATGAAGTACAATGCCAAGTTTTTAAAGTTTGTGTTTTTTTAAGTACATTACAACTGTACCCTTGGTTTGCTTCTGATACAATAAATAAATAGGTTAGGACAGTGTTTTTCAACCTTCCTAATTCCGTGACCCCTTAATACAGTTCCTCATGTTGTGGTCACCCCAACCATAAAATTATTTTTGCTGCTACTTCATAACTGTAAGTTTGCTACTGTTATGAATCGTCATGTAAACATTTGATATGCAGATGTATTTCCAATCACTGGACCAAATTTGGCACAAATACCTGATAAACCCAAATTTGAATACTGGTGGGGTTGGGGGCGGGATCAGTTTTGTTATTTGGGAGTTGTAGTTGCAGGGATTTATAGTGAATCTACAAGCAAAGAGCATTCTGTAGTCCACCAACAGTGGAAGTGAACCAAACTTGGCACACAGAAGTCCCATGACCAACAGAAAATACTGAAAAGGTTTGATGGACATTGATCTTGAGTTTTGGAGTTGTAGTTCACCTATATACAGACAGCATTGTAGACTCAAACAATGATGGATGTGGACCAAACTTGACACGAATACGAATATGCCCAAATTTGAACACTGATGGAGTTTGGGGAAAATAGACATTGACATTTGGGAGTTGTCGTTGCTGGGATTTATAGTTCACCTACAATCAAAGAGCATTCTGAACCCCACGAACTATAGAATTGGGCCAAACTTCCCACACAGAAACCCTTTGACCAACAGAAAATAAATATCAAAATTAAGACATAGAAGAACTCATCACTAAACAAATGAAATTTAAAAGCATAGTCATCAATAAGACATCTAACATAGTTAGCACCATTAAAAATGGTGAAGCATTGGCTGTTATAGTTGTTGTACTTAGGAGGAAACCCCTTTCTGGGAGGCCCCTCATTTGCAGGGTCTTCCCAAGTCCAAACAAGCCCAAGGCCAAAAACAATTGAGACTTCCTTCTGGACAGGGTTGTACTGTTACATCCATATTTTAATTCTAGTTATAGGTTTTAGCAGGAAAATGCTGACCCCACAGAAGCTAAAATGCAGGAACCCTTAAGGGTTTAGGGGAGGAATTTTTAGAAACAGCTTTCATGAATACAGATTACCCTCCAAATTTGCTGGGGTTAGGGGCACAAGACTACACAAAAATTAAAAAAAACCCCACAAATATTATTATTATTTGTATCATTATTTTACCTTTCTGACTGCTATTTTTTAAAACAACATCACATCACCCTAGGAATCTTTTAAGACCTTCAACATGGCTCTATGGAAGGCATGGGCCCACTTGGGCCTTCCCTTCAGGTGTTTTGGACTTCAACTCCCACCATTCCTAACAGCCTCAGACTCATTCCTTTTTCCCCCTCAGCTACTTAGCAGCTGAGGGGGAAAAGGAAGGGACCTGAGGCTGTTAGGAATGTTGGAAGTCCAAAACACCTGGAGGGCCAAAGTTTGCCCATGCCTGCTCTATGATCAGCTTTTGCTGGAAACAGATCATAGAACATGTTAGAGGACTTAGAAGTTCCCAGAGAGGAGCTCCCACTAGAAATCTACATCCACAAAAACTTGTTTTTAAGGAGGGGACTGGATACCTTACAAATCTCCCAATACAGCCACAATACAGCAAAGTGGTTGTGAAACTCAGCACATTTACTGGGAAACATGCCCCACAAAATCAGGCCTTTGCCTTAAACTCTATTGAAATTGGTCAAGCTTAAGCACACCTTCTTCTGTGTGTAAGCATGGAGAACTATGTGCGAAATAAAACAGCCCTATTCAAATTATCAACTTATTACAATCACTCACAAACATTTTCAGGTACATGTTACAATACACACAAAATGAAAACATGTCTCAAAAGCAAATATTGGGAGATTAAAATAATGTGGTAATTTGTTTTAAACCAGGACTATTTATTTGGAAAGTTTGTTCTAGAATATTTATATTGATCAAAGCCATATCAGCCTAAGAACGCGTTGTTATTATGTGCCAACATGCACTTCCTGCGTATGGCAACCCCAAAATGAACTTATCACAGGGTTTTCTTGGTAAGATGTGTTCAGAAGAGGGTGAGAGAGTGTGACTTGCCCAAAGTCTTGTCCAGTAGGGTACAAAACTGAATAGCGATTCAAAACCTTGCCCATAGAGTTACAGTCAAACACTCAACCCAGAATGAGCAGCTATCTTTTAAGTAGCTTTGGACAGGTTGGGAAAAGAGATGCAGAAAATATATTTACTTCTTTCACTGTCTCTCCCCTCCCAGGGGAAAAAGCAACAAATAGAAGGAATTGTGAGGAAAGAAACAGTAATATTTTGTGCTCCAAAACTCCTTCCTTCCCAAGTTGCTTTTCTTTTTTCAGATAGTACCTGTTGGAGGTTTATTATATATATTAAGATTTTCTTACACACATATCCTGCTCTCCTTCAATACAATGTATATCCCTCCCCACCACCAGACACACACATCATCATCACCTGTTTGGATTTTGCATTAGGTTAAGCTAGGCTTCAATTTATTGAGATGAGTTCCACTTGTGATTCAACCCAAACATTGTCAAGTCACATCTTGAAGGCAACGTGTCCTGTCAGGCAAAACTTTGCTATCTTGGGAATTGGATGGTATCAATTAATTGCAATATGTATTTTGAATTTTCAACAAACCAGAAAGTAGCTGTAATGTCTGTTTGCTAAATCTGTTGCTACTAATTTCTAACATTTATTTTCTGATTAATTATTTTTTCATCTGTGTAGGATTTTCTTCCTTGATATTCTGGGATTATAGGGCTGTGTGGAAGGGCCCTTAGATTAATTCGAGTTTCTTTTATTTCAGTGGCTTTACTATAAGAATAGCTAGGTCTGAATACAATCCATTGTCACAGAAATAAGTCTTCTGCCAAATAATTTTCAGCTCAAAGTCCACAAATTTTCTGAAATCTTATCCCTGTTTATTTCCCAGAAAAAAAATGTGGTTTTGGATTTCCCATGAAAGATAGAATTAGGTGTTATATTATACATAGTTACCAAGAAAAACTCTGTAAATTATCAATAATTTTATTTGTCTAATCTCATTATTTTGATTAAACTAGATTGTCCCGCAGCACTACCGTCTTCTCAAAACTAAGCAAGATCGCAAGGCATTGAACTAGGAACATACATGGATTAATGTAGAATAAAAAAACTCAAGGGTTCTTCTTCCCCCTCAAATATTGGCATGGCAACTTCAACAAACCACATTTGTGCTTTTATTATGGAAAGAGGCCCTCTACCATTAAAAGCTACATAATAATAGGAAGAAGCTGACAAGTGCAGTCAGCATTGCAAATGAGCACACAGTTATTTCTCTTCTGTTTTCACATCCCTACGATAAACCATCCAAGAAAGGATCCAGTGTTTGCAAATATTGAAAAGTATGTCTTTGTAGTTTTTTGCTGCAAAAGAGTGATGTTGAAACTTCAAGATTAACAAATGTGATGGGCTATGGAAGAAAAGAGACTCCTTCACAGCATGTGAAATACACACTGTCCTCCATGGGGAGCGCTATGTAGAGCTAGCTGCCTGAATGAATTTAGAAACAGAGCAAGGATATCACTCAGGTGGCTATATAATGCCCGGTTGGATCCAAGAAGCATTTCAACTATGTTTTGGGGGGCCCTGAACCATCTTAGGTACAGAAAAGCTTTTTTCACCCTAAAACAAGAAGTTAACAGAAATTATCAGGAAGACCCAAAAATGTGGCAAAAATGCCTCCATGTAATAGAAGATGTTTGGGAACACTT